CCCTCCTTGGGTTTCTGAGGCAGTATCACTACGGAAGTAGATTGCCCAACCTTCCTTCCGAGGAGTGGCTGGTGGGTTTGAACCGCCAGCCTTCTAGATAGCAGTCAAGTGCCTTAGGCACTATGCTACCAGAGCTCCCACAGTAGCCTTTACAGTAGTGTAATTTTGCTACACTAAACAATACTATTTTCTTTGGAAAACAAGCCCCATAAATACTTAGGCCCATTGCATCGGTTCAGTGTAACATACTAATTTCTAGAGGCCTTCTACATGTAGTCAGAAAACCAAACTCACTACCGTTGAGTTGGATCTGACTCATAGCGACCCCTCTTTGGGTTTCTGAGGCAGTATCAAGGGGTTGTTATGAGTCAGATCCGACTTGACAGCAGTGAGTTTGTTTTTTTTGACTACACGTAGAAGGAGCTCTGGTGGTGTAGTCAATAAGACATTTGTCTGCTAACTAGTAGTTCGGTGGTTCAAACCCACAGGCTTCTCCATGGGAGGAAGATGAAGCAATCTACTTCCATAAGGATTTACATCCTTGGAAACCCATTGGGGTCACTATGAGTCAGAATCAACTTGAGGGCAGTGGGTTTCGTTTTTTTGGTTTAGTACATGTAGAGTTAATAACTATAGAAGATGGAAGCCTTAAAAAGAAGATCCAAGAAGATAAAACACAAGTTATTTCAACAAAGATTTTTGTTTTACATATCAGGATACATCTCAACACTTCAATGACAAAAAAAAAAAAAAAAATTGGTTTACCAAGGAATCTACTTAATGGCTAAACACTTTAGACCACAGAGTTACCATTAGGTTATGTATACTTTACAACAGGCATTACTTCAATCTGTTAAATAAGCCAATGTGAAACTCGAAAATAATTACTAGGTTTGCTTTAGTGCCTAAAATATCACAGTATCACAGTTAGAAGTAGGAAAGTTTTCCTTTCTCCTTAGTTATTATGCCATACGGATTATTTAAATGTTAACAAAAATAAAAAATCCTTGAAAATATATTATCGGAGGCAATGAAGATAACATATGAAACATATGTACAAGTGGATTCTACAGGCAGAACTTAGTCAACTTCTACAGACAATGTGTCATCATCTTCTTCCAGGAGTGGTATTTCCTGTGCATTTTTTAAAAAAGGTTTTTAGCAGCAAGAGCTAAAACCAGAGTTTTGGTGATCCTTAGTTAACCAATTAATTGCCACTCCTCATTGACAAAAGATTTCCATTTCTTGTTTTCTAGATTTTGTATGTTTTTCAGTCATTAATTTCATAGTGTTCATTTTTATTAATTGCCTGGGAGTATATGAGGAGTTGGGCAAAGCAAAGTACCTCTCCAAATTTTGTAATGAATCTTTTTAGAACCTAAAATAAGTGTTTTAAAATAATTTTCTTCTCAAGAGATACATTATCTGCTTTATTTCAAATTTTAATTGTATTTATAGTTTAAAATATATGTATTTCTAAGTATTTATTCCTCTTGTAAGCCAAGAAACACATATTAGGAAATAGCTTCTTAATCAAAATTCACTTTTGGGCTGTTTATTTTTACATAACTCCATTGATGATAATTACATAGTCTACTATTAAATCCTAATTATTTATTTCTTTCTTAACAGATTTTATTAAACAAAGAAGAGCAGGACTGAATGAATTCATTCAGAACTTAGTTAGGCACCCAGAGCTTTACAACCAGTAAGTAAATTTAATTGTGTTTCTAAAGAGGCACTAAAACCAAATTTCAGGATATTGTGAAAAATATTAATAATATCTGTGCAATACTAAATATGTTTGTAAAAGTCCTCTAGGATTTTCCTCCTGTTATCTTCTTCATCACCTTTTTTCTCCATCAACTCAAGGCTATGGTTATATTCTTTTTTCCTTTTGTACTTGCATTAGTTTTGTAGCTTGTATGTAACATTTCATGGTGAGTGGAACTCAGAAGAAGGGTAGGTTTTTGGAAAGGTGGTGAGTCTGAAGGAGTTGAGTAGGCAAGGGTCGAGCACACATGTCACTGCTTCTTGTTCCCCCTTGGGTGCTGTTCTCTTTGTCTACCCAGACAAGGTCTCCCTGTTCTTCTTTCTCAACACAGCACTCCAGGTATCCCCTTAAGTTGAAGGTATTTTTATCAAAAGATTCACCAAAAGAGTAAAAAGAGAGCCCATAGACTAGGAAAAAAAATTTGGCAACAACATATCTGAAAGAGACTAATGTCTAAAATTTATTGAAATCATCAACACCTCAAAAGCAAAAAGACAATATAATTAAGAAATCGGCAGATGACATGAACAGACATTTTACCAAAGAAGACTTTAGTTGGCTAACAAACCTATAAGGAAATTTTCTCATTAGCCATGAAAGAGATGCAATTCAGAAGAATAATGAGATACCTCACCCCAGCATTAATAGTAGAGTTCAAAAAAACAGAAAACAGCAAATGCTGGCAAGAATGTGAAGAGACTGGAACCCTCATACACTGCTGGTGGGGGACTATATAGTGGTTCTCTTTCCACTGTAAAGTGGAAAGATGTGTCGTCATCTTTTTCTAGGAGTGGTATTTCCTGTGCATGTTTTAAAAAAGGTTTTTAGCAGCAAGAACTAAAACCAGAGTTTTGGTGATCCTCAGTTAACCAATTAATTGCCACTCCTCATTGGCAAAAGATTATGGTGCTTCCTTAAGAAGTTGGAAATAGAAATAACGTATGATCCAGCAATCCCACTACTAGGTATATATGCTAGAGAAACAAGAGCTATGACACAAACAGATATATGCATACTTGTGTTCATTGCAGTATTCTTCACTGTACAAAAAGATAGAAACAACCTAAGTGCCCATCAGTGGACGAATGGGTAAACAAATTATGGTACCTACCCAAAGTGGAATGCTATACAACAGTTAAAGAATAACGATAGTCTGAAAAATACCTCTTATCATGAATGAATCAAGAGGACATTATGCTGAATGAAATTAGTCAATCACAAAAGGGAATGTAAATCTCTAGAGGGCAGACAGGTATTCACTTGGGTGAAGGGAAAGGTAGTGTGCATTAACGGGGGGGAGCTCAGCACAAAATGATCAAGGCAGTGGAAAAAAACAGGAGAAACACAAGAGTTAAAGGCAACAAAGGTGAATTCTATTCAATACACAATCCTGCAATAACAGTAATAATGATACTTTCCAAGGAGATACATAGATAGACACTCAAGCTGAACAGGAGTAGGAAGGCAAATGGGACTATACTTTAGTCCCATGAATACATAGTTTTGATAGAGGCTGTCTCTACCCATATGTTTATGTATGCTGCAAATATATCCTTGAATGTACAGCATACCGGGGGCAAAGTTATGAAAACTTCTTACTCATAACCAAACACCTTGAGGGAATGAGTCATTGAGCATGAGGGCTCAGGACCATATACTGTCAAGGGCCACTAAGGTCAATTGGCATAACATAGTTTGCAAAGGCAGTGTTCTTCATTTTACTTTGGTGAGTGGCGACTGGGGACTTAAAAGCTTGTGAGGGGCCATCTAAGGTGCAACTATTGGTTTCTCCCCATCTGGAGCAAAGAAGCATGATGAAAATCAAAGATGCAAGGAAACAGTTGGTCCAAAGGACTAATGGGGCATGTGAATCCCAGCCTCCATGACCTTGAGACCAGAAGAATTAAATGGTGCCAGCTACCACTCCTGACTACTCTGAAAGAGGTCCCAAATAGAGTAGGAGAAAAATGTGGAATAGAACTCAAAATTATTAAAAAGATCAGGCTTACTGTTCTGATGAAGGTTAGTGGAACCCCCAATATTTTAGCCATTGGTCATCCTTCAAGCCAGGACCTGAACTCAATCCCTGTGGCTCAACTTTCAGCCAGGTAGGCCTGTAAGGTGAAGTGATACCAGGAGGCTATGCACTCATTAGAACAATCAACCATAAGAGAGCAAGAGGGTAACATTTGCCCAGGAATAGAGCTAGGAAAGGAAGTGTTAGGTGTGGGGAAGAAATGGGAGGAGTGCAGTTGCATTGTGTTATTGTCACATAACAGAATGTATGTGGATTATTGAATGGAAAACCAATTTGCTCTGTAAACTTTCACCTCAATCACATTAAAAAAAAAAACTGAAAAAAAGATCAAGCCACTTTCCTTTCTTAGTATGTGTCTCCTATTAATGAGTTTAAACTATTCTGTAGGGCAGCAGCATCCAATGAGGGGAGGAAAATTGATTCATACAAGAAATATCTAGGCACACGTTGGTAGATCCATGATTTGGATGTTTAATTTTTGAGTTTGGTAGTTGGTTCATGGATATTTATTATATGCTGTGTTAGGGAAATAACACCTTTAAAAATCACTTAACTTCATTGAAGCCAATTTTTTAAATGACTTTATTAAAACTGAATTTAAAAATCATTTAAAATGAGAATAAAATGTTAGGATTTATCTTACCACTGAATGGGAACGTTTACTAAGTGTATTCGCAATGAATGATGTATCACAAAGTAAGAGTGATAAATCTGACTAATAAAAACTTTTGAACTCTAAAAATTTTAAGTGAAAATGAAAATATAAAGAAAATATCCTATAGTAATTGATAATAGATAAATATATTTAATACAGAAAGCACCTATACAAATAATATACATTTAAGACCTAAAAAGAAAAATAGACAAAGGATGTGAACCATTTATGAAAAAAAGAGATAAAAATGACCAGTTGATTACCAGAGATATAGAACATTTCCTTATCTATTAAAGAAATTCAAATAGAAGTAGAAATACAGTTCCTTATTTTATTTTCTTACAGTGTAACACATTTGGAAAATGTATAAATCATGACTATACTGTTCAATGAGTTACAAGAAAGTGAAACACACCTTAGTTGCCACCCTCAGATCAATAGAACATTACCAGCACCTCTGAAGCTCCTCCCAGCCTTTCTCTCAATCTATTCCTTCCCTTCTTTCCAAAGGTAACTACTATTCTGATTTTTAACTGCAAGGATTATTATGCCCCATTTTAAGAAGTTATATAAGTGAAATAATATATGCAGTATTTATTCTCTGGCTTACTTAGTTCAATAGTCTTGAGATTCATCCATGTTTTTACACAAAGCTATAGTTGGTTTATTTTTACTGCTATATAATATTCCATTTTAAGAATATACCACAATTGATCCATTTTTCAACTGATGGACATTTGAATTGCTTCCAGTTTCTAGCTATTATGAATACCATTACCATGAATCATATAAAGATGAGTCAGATGCAAGATCCACAGCAGGAGAGTGAACTTTACCAGAGCTTTTAATATCTATTGGATACAGACCTTACCCTCAAGGAAACTAAAGGTGGTGATTTGAGTCACACACTCTGGTAAGGTAGTAACTCAAGATACATCCCACCCCAATCCTGCCTTACTGATATAATGGACAACTCACTCGAAAATGGTACCATAACCACAGGCATAGAGGCTAGGATTTTTAATACATTACAATAGAGGACTGTGGCTAGAAGGGCCTTATTAAGTAATTCACTGTACCACACCAACACTTAGTATCATTAGTCTTTTAGTTTTAGCTGTTCTGGTGAGTGGGCTGCAGTACCTTATTGTAACCTTAATTTGCATCTCATTAATTACTAATAAATTTGAGTACTTTTTCTTTATAATACTATACTCCACTTACCAAATTATCATTCGTGGTAATATAAATTGAAACACTGTTAACCAAGGCTGAAGAGAGCTTCAATATATTTATATACTGCTGGGCAAGTATAAATTGATGCAGTCTCTCTGGAAATCAGCTTAACAAAATCTATTCATACTAGAAAACAAATAATGCATACAGCTTTAAAATGGCTCATACTTCAGACCAAATAATCTTATTTTTAAAAATCTGTCTTGAAAATCATAAATGCAGTTGTAGTATTATGCACAAGAGTGTTGATTGCAGCATTGTTTATAGTAGTTGTATGGAGCTCTGGTAGCGTAGTGCCAAAGCACTTGACTGCTAATCAGAAGGCTGACGGTTCAAACCTACCAGCTACTCCTCGGAAAGAAGATGGGGCAATCTACTTGCATAGTGATACTACCTCGGAAACCCAAGGAGGGGTCGCTATGAGTCGGGTCCGACTCGACAACACGTAACAACAGCAACAATAATAGTGAGAAGTTGGAATCAATTGATACAATCCTGAAGTGGAAGAATCACTGAGCTACTTTAATGTTGTTGTTGTTGTTGTTACGTATGTCTTTACAAAGACAGTAAATCTTTGCAGAAGTAGATTGCCCTATCTTCCTTCTGCATAGTGGCAGGTGGGTTTGAACTGCCAGTGTTCTGGTTAGCAGTCAAATGCCTTAGGCACTGCACCACCAGAGTTCCTTATTTTTAGTATAATATGATCTTAATTGTGCAGTAAAAAAGACTGAAATAAAATTCCCAAATGTTAATAATGGCTTCATCTATGTGGTAAAATTGAAGATCTTTCTTCCTCCCTTTTTTTGAAGAAATTATTATTGGGATAAAAGTCACCATTTTAATCAGTTTGTAGTATACAGTTCATTCATTTGTGGTATAGTCACAGTGCTGTGCAACCATCATCACTGTCTAATTCCAGAATACTTCTTCACTTCAAAAACAAACCCTGTATCTCCCGATCCCACTTTCCCTCATCTCATGTCAATCACTAATCTACTTTATGTCTCTTACTTTCTGGACATACCATATAAATGGAATCATGTAATATGTGTGTCTGTCTTCTTTTATCGAGCATAATGTTATAGCACATACTAGTATTTCATTCCTTTTTATGGGTGAATAATATTCCACTGTATGCATATACCACATTTTATTCATTCATCAGTTGATATTTGTGTTCTTTCCAGTTTTTTACTATTGTGAATAGTGCTGCTGTGAACATTCATGTATAAGTATTTGTTTGAATACCTATTTTCAGTTTTTTTGGGTATATACCTAGGAGTGGAATTGACATTTTAAGGTACTGACAAACTGTTTTACATAGCTTCTGTGCCCTTTTACATTCCCACAAACCCCTCCTCGTTTAAAAAATACTTTTTGATCTTCCCGGGTTTCCTACAATGAATGTATATTGTTTGTATTTAACTATTAAGAACACTTTGGAGGACAAGGTACCTCAAGGCATAGAGATTTAATCATTCCTCAGGATCATTAGTCAATGCAAGTTTTTGTCCATTTTTTTTCTCTTCATCTTTGATTTCCATACCCATTTCTTCATCATCACTGGTGATACTCACTTTAATATGTTTGATATATGTCTTTAAGTATGTGTTTATCTTTGGAAATTTTAGAATAAATTTTGGAAAATTTAGTGTGTGTATATATATATATATAGAGAGAGAGAGAGAGAGAGAGTACTATACTCTAGATCTCATTCATTTTTTCCCAAAAAAAAACTGTTTTTAAGATCTACCCATGCTACCATCATACCTTTAGTTCATTGTTTCTAAACTACTTACTGGTATTTTCTGACAAGTACTGACCATAGTTTACTTACTTATCCCTCTAATGATAGATAACTGTTTTGCTTCCAACTCACTACTTTAAAGAATGCTGTAATGAGCACTCTTATACATGTCCTTCACTGAACTTACACATAAGTTTTTCTGGGATTTATCCCTAGAATTGGAGCCAGGGCTAATATATACCCATTGCTACCAAGTTGCTAGATTGCTTTCTAGAGGAGTTGTCTCTTCTGCACTCTGAACAGTAATATGTGTGGGTATCTCTTTCCTCTCATTCTTACCAACTGTTGGTGTCATCCATCTCTAATTTTGCCAGTGAATGGGCAAACAGTGGTATCTTACCATTTCAATGTGTGTTTCTCTGATCACTGGTAAAGTTAAGCATCTTAAATTTGCTTGCCATTTGGGTTTCCCTTTCTATGAATGGCCTGTTTATATCCTTTGGTTTGTTTGTTTGTTTGTTTGTTGGACTCCCTAACTTCTTTGTCTTTCTTTCTTTTTTCTTTTTAAAATGAATGTGCTTATTTCTTTTATAATAATGAATATTAATGAATTTTGTTTAGTTTTCTTTCTGTAAATGGTAATATGTTGTTGTTATGTGCTGTCGAGTCGGACCTGACTCATAACGACCCCTCCTTGGGTTTCCAAGGCAGTATCACTACGGAAGTAGATTGCCCCATCTTCGCTGGTGGGTTTGAACGGCCAGCCTTCTGGTTAGCAGTCAAGTGCCTTAGGCACTACGCCACCAGAGCTTCCAAATGGTAATATAGTTATTTTTATTTTGGTTTCATTTTAAAAGAGAGGAAAGTATAGAAACGTTTTCAAAGTCCTAACAGAGTTAATTTTTGTTTTTAGTCCAGATGTCAGAGTGTTCCTTCAAATGGACAGCCCAAAACATCAGTCAGATCCTTCTGAAGACGAGGATGAAAGAAGTACTCAGAAGGTAGAAAAATGGATGATATTTTTTAACAGAAAAGAATGCCATTCTCCAAAGATGGAATTAGTAGCAACTTTAAGATAATGTTTACTTAAAATGAAATAATTTTATCCATAGATTTTCTGCTTTGTAGAACACATAGAATGATATGTACCCCCTCTTATTGATGACTGTTTCATATGAAACTTGAAGTGTATTTTTTATTGCAAAAAGTAAGATGTTGATTTTTTAAAGTTTTGAAAATAGTAACAAGTATTACCAATAACTACCACCTAAACCTAGTAATTTTTAATACTTTAGTAGTTTTCTTCCCAGTCTTCTGTTAATATATATGTTTTGAAAATTTATCTTATCTTAATTATGTAGTATATGGAATTTTATATCCTTTTTTCCCTTTACATCTTATTTTTTGGTCATTGTATAGACTTCATTATCATCACCACACTTGAAATTACTACTTTGAATTTTGGTCAGGAGGAAAGGCCTCTTCAGGCAAAACATTGCATACCTCTACATCTGCACTGTCAGATTTTGATACATAGAGCAATCAATACTGCAGCGCACAGATTGCTTTTATTTGATCTTTCTTTCCATGGTCTTGTAACTCCCACCAAATGATTGGGTGGGACTGTGCAGATAAGGTGCTTGTAGCCCACCAAAGGGGATTGGACAGCTTGCTAATAATGCAAATAAGGTACATGGCACCCTTTAGGGGGTAAACTCCAAAAACCAAATTCACTGCCATCGAGTCAATTCTGACTCACAGCGACCCACACTGGGTTTCCTAGGCAATAAATCTTTATGGAAGTAGATTTTCCCATCTTCCTTCTGTGGAGTGGCTGGTGGGTTTGAACTGCCATCCTTCTGGTTAGCAGTCAAATGCTTTAGGCACTATGCCACCAGAACTCCTTTTTCAAGGGGTAGAACTGGGCAAATAAGGCATACAGAACCCTAACAAGAGAATTGGTTGGTTTGGACATCTTGCTGGACTTAAAATAAGCCATCCCGGGGGGAATCTCACTACCACCAAGAAGAACCAGGAGTGGAGCACGTCCTTTGGATCTGGGATTCCTGCTCTGAGAACATCCTAGACCCATGAGACAGAGAAACAGACCCACAAACGAGAGCAAGAGATGGTGGTGCAGTGGTAGCAAAAGTGACTGCAGCACAAGATGACAGGAACCAGGAGACTGGCTCAAGATGGTTGTGGTGGGTCTTGCTGAACTACAAAGCTAAGAATTGTAATACATGCCCAAGAAGGCCCCCAGCAGGGCCTGGCAGCAGAAGGCAAGAAGAAACTGTCCTGATTAAGGAACTAAGTCCTGAGTGTTCCTGCTACTTCCAAGTTGATCCCAATCCCAAATTGTACTCCATTACTTCTCTAATAAACCTTATAATCATGAGTATTGTCTATGTGTTCTGTGTGGCCATTGCAGCAAATTGTCAAACCCAGCACAGAAGTAGAGAGTGCCATGGTTGGGACTGGTGTCAGAAATGATAAAAGGTTTGGGGAGAGGAGGTATGTCTGACCTCTGCTTCACAGGAGTCATCCTGGGTTGTTGATACTGATAATGATTCTGCTCCCTCCTTGTGAAGTTAGACAGGGAAGTCTGACACCCCTACACCATCATTTTTACAAGTACACATGTATATTTGGCTTCTTTTGGCATATGTACAAAATCAGTATATATTCCTATGAAAGAAAGATATGCCATTGTTTTTTAAAGTAGATCATGATGCTGTAATAGCAAATAAGTAAATGTAATAAGCTTGTGTCTTATGAATATATTTTCAACAATTGCCTTAGGAAATAATGTGGAAAAGGTAAATTAGGATAATTTAACCCTGGATTATTGTATAGGAATTAAAATTATAAATCAAGTGTTATATACATATAATGTCTTTATAATTCATAATTGATCTTAATTATTGTTAAGTACAAGCATGAAAATCAAAGGTGTTGGGATAATGGGTTAAAGTACCTTTTTATCTATGTACAGACAGACCTCGGATATATTACGGGTTCAGTTCCAGACCACCACAATAAAGCAAATATCACAATAAAATGAGTCACATGAATTTTTTTGTTTCCCAGTGCATATAAAAGTTGTATTTACACTATATTATAGTCTGTTGAATTATGCAATAACATTATGGAAAAATTTGAAATATTGTGATAATTACCAAAATGTTGGAACAGACACAAGGGTGAGCACATACTGTTGGAAAAATGGCGCCTATAGACTTGCTTGACACAAGGTTATCACAGACCTTCAATTTGTAAAAAATGCAATATCTGTGAAGGGCAATAAGTGAAGTACAGTAAAGTGAGACATTCAAACCAGATTCAGTAGAGGGAGTGGATCGAGGGATATTGTTGATGTCAGATGGATCTTGGTTGAAACAAAGAATACCAGAAAAATGTTTATTGGTGTTTTATAGATTATGCAAAGGTATTTAACTATATGGATCATAACAAATTATGGATAGCATTACGAAAAATGGGAATTCCAGAACACTGAATAGTGGGAAGTTATTCAAACAGAATAAGGGGATACAGCATGGTTTAAAATCAGGAAAGGTAGGCGTCAGGGTTGTATCCTTTCACCAAACTTACTCACTCTGTATGCTGAGCATAAAATACCAGAAGCTGGACTATATGAAGAAGAACACAGAATCAGGGTGGAAGGAAGACTCACTAACAGCCTGCTTTGGCAGGTGGCACAACTTTCCTTGCCAAAAGTGAAGATCTTGAGTTGAAGCACTTCGTGATGAAGATCAAAGACTACAGCCTTCAGTATGGATACAACTCAACATAAAGAAAACAAAATTGTCATAACTGGACCAAGAAGCAGCATTGTGATAAATGGAAAAATGATTAAAGTTGTTAAGGATTTCATTTTACTTGGATTCACAATGAACACTAATGGAAGCAGCAGTCAGGAAATCAGACAACGTATTGCATTGGGCACATCTGCTGTAAAAGACTTCTTTAAAGCGTTTAAGAGCAAAGATGTCAGTTTGAAGACTAAGGTGTGCCTGACCCAAGCCATAGTGTTTTTAATAGCCTCATGTGCATGTGAGAGCTGGACAATAAATAAAAAAGACCACAAGTGAATTCATGCACTTGAAGTGTGGTGTTGGCAAAGAATATTGAATGTACCATGGACTGCCAGAAGAACAAACTTAATCCGTCTTGGAGGAAGTGCAGCCAGAATGCTCCTTAGAAGTGAGAATGGCTAGGCTCACCTCTCATACTTTGGTCATGTTGTCAGAAGAGATTGGTTCTTAGAGAAAGATACTATGCTTAGTAAAGTAGAGGGTCATCGAAAAAGGGGATCTAGATGGATTGAAATAGTGGCTATGATGATGGGCTCAAGCATTACAACAATTGTGAGGATAGTGCAGGACTGGGCAATGTTTTGTTCTGTTGCTGTACATAGGGTCACGATGAATCGAAACCTACTCAACAGAACCTAACAACAACTGCTTTTGATTAAGTGTTTTTAAGTAGGTAACTAAAAGAAAGGGCTAGAAAGTATCTTACATGATGTCTTTATAAGTGCCCCCCTCGTTTATAAAGACAAATAGAGACCAAGAAAAGTCAAAACAGTTATGATCTTAATGTTCATTCTATTTCACCCTCAATTTACTGAATAGATATAATCTTTAAAAATAGTAGGTACAGTCTAGGGACACAATAGAAGGTTTGGATAGAATGAAAGAAAAATGTAGAACAAAACTCAGACTCCTCCAAAAAGCCAAACCTACTAAACTAATAGAGACTAGAGGAACCTTGAAGACTACTGCCCTCAGATAACCTTTGAACATGGAATTTCTGCAGGTCACCTTTCAGCCAAATAACAGGTTGGCTTATAAATAAACAGTATCACGTTTAACCGTGAATGTATGTAACCAAAAGGTCATTTTACCCAAAAGCCAAGGTGAGAAGGCAAGGAGAGGAAGGGAAGGTAGATTCATGGAAACAGACCAAACAAGAGTAGATGTAAACACTGAGAATGCTGACACTTTGTAAAAATTGTAACCAATGACAGAATTATTTTTATAAAAATTGTTAAAAACCAAAAACCAAACTCACTGCCAGTAAGTCAGATCCGACCCATAGCGATCCCTCTTTGGGTTTCTGAGGCAGTACCACTACAAAAGTAGATTGCCCAACCTTCCTTCTAAGGAGTGGCTGGTGGGTTTGAACTGCCAGCCTTCTGGTTAGCAGTCAGATGCCTTAGACACTATGCCACCTGTGTATACTTATACCTAAAACAATAAAATATTACTGAAAAACTAGTAGGTATAGTGAAAAATTGTCCAATTATGTATCCCAGTGGCATTATTATTTCTAAAATGCGCTCCATTGAGAAAATCATTGCCAAAAATAATAAAAATCACACTACATATTAAGGAGGAGCTCTGGTAGCATAGTGCCTAAGACACTTGACTGCTAACCAGAAGGCTGACGGTTCAAACCCACCAGCCACTCCTCGGAAGGAAGGTTGGGCAATCTACTTCCATAGTGATGCTGCCTCGGTAACCCAAAGAGGGGTCGCTGTGAGTCGGGGCTGACTTGACGGCACATAACAACAACATATTAAGGGACTAAGCTGTCTCTGTTTTTTTATCACAAGCTTTTATAATTCTCAAGGAGCTCTGGTAGCATGGTGCAAAAGTCATCTGATTGCTAGCTATAAGGTTGGTGATTCAAACCCACCAGCCACTCCACAGAAGCAAGACTGGGCAATCTGCTTCCTTAAAGATTTACCTCCTTTGAAAACCCAGTGGGGGTCACTATGAGTCAGATTCGACTCGATGACAGTGGGTTTGGTTTGGGTTTTTTATAATTCTCCTCCCTCATCTATATAAGAAAAATTTATTGAATGGAAAATTGATAATTTCTCTGAAAACTTACTAAAAGAATAAGTGTATTGAAATTACAACTTAGATTGAATTACATTGTCAGATTCTTTCTTCTGAAAGAATTGGCCAGGGAA